AACCAGAAGGCAACTAACTGCTCGGATTGGTAGAATCCTCGTACGTTGGTGGCAAATCATCTGGCGCTGCTCGTGTGGGCACACTCTGCTCCACCACCACCGCATCCGGATATGGCGGAGCTGTGGCTACTGGCATCCTGAAAAGCAATCACCGTGTCAGCGAGTAACAACACATCGTTTCGCGAACAGCGATTGCCGCACTTTTACAAACAGCTCAGAGCACTGACCAACACAGCCTCGAACATCATGCTTCCAGTATTATTACCAGTTCTGCTGTAGTGAAACATGGAAAACCACGCTTGCTGACAAGAAAAAGTTAATAACGATGACTCACTGAGCAGTGGGGAGGAAACGCACGACAGATGTTAACAAGCTGCAACACACTTCCACTAAATGTAGCGCAGCTCCGAGTTGGTGTGAGCAATATCATGTCGCCCCTTCGATTGTCACAGGCAGCTGCGAAACGTGGTCACTCATGAAAGCTGAAGAGCACGATCCCGCAAGGGAAAAACTACTTGGGTGCTGCGTCACCAGCAAAGAACAAAGCCCAAAAGACGTCGCACTGAAAAATTCACGCAACGGCACGTTGCTGTCCCACTTAGTCCTCCTCGCCTCGTTTTCACACCCAAATTTGCTTAAGCCTGGCTTCCTCTGCTGAATTTCGCACTCCTCGGCCCTGGTTTCTCACTCGCCCTCACAAGTACCTCAGCCCTCAGTTCGGGCGCTTGATAACACTCCACCATTCTGTCTCCGATGAAAACTCTTTCCAGCTGATTTCTGACCTCAGATAATTGCCAACATCTGCAAACCCCGAGACAAAAGGGGCACAGTTTGCTGGGTGTATGGGGGAGCACAGAGGATCCAGAAGCAGCACCAGTGAAGCTAAGTCCAGGCCTCCGGGTGATCACGACGCTGATAGGGCCAGCCTCACCGCCCCAATCGATGAGCCGAGAGCACACACTGTAGCAGCCACTGCTACATACACACACACACACACACACAAAAAACAAACATATGTGTGACGCTCATTGGTGCACTGAGGACCTGTGTACTCGCAAAGGGGTAGTGTACCCCCCGCGCAGAGTGCCGCTGGTTTCGGGTTTGCCGGGGTTTCTGTAGGCGGGTAAGGGTTTAGGTATTCCACTCAACACTGCTAATTTCCCCTTCGACACGAACTTTCATGCCGAGCATAAAAAAACCCTTTTCTCGCACAACCCTCCCAATCTAGAACCATGGGAGAACTGGGAATAGAGTTGTAACACTGCTACTTAGAATTACTTTAGTTTTATTTACGAACAGATCCGGGTTCTTGCAGCACTGGTACCTGTGCCATTCGAGGACAGGAAGAT